ATCAGGGGCCTTCAGAATCACCTGGTAGATGCAGTAAATTGGAAAGAGCAGATGCCAAAGTTGTGTATGTGGTGTGCAGTGAGCGAATGGCAGAGCACCAACTAAAAGCTTAATAGTGATGCAGAATCTTGTCCCCATCCCCTAACTGTAGAATCAGCCATCATTTTTACAAGATTCTCCGAGGATTTGGGCACACTGCAAAGTATGGGAAGAGGAGGTGCATAGTAGCCACACCCAACCCAGGCTACACAGGAGAGGTACCTGGAGATCTTCTAAAGACACTCATTTCCGGGCTGGGGAAGGGTCCAAGCACTGGTTCTAATATTTAGTCAGGACTGAGGACAAGTGGGGAAAGTGTCAATCTGGCAGGTTCTGGCATCACCAGCACGATCGTGGGTCACCTACTAGCACCTGAGCCTTGCTCTGCTCAACTGTGAGGTGGGAATAAATGATGCTTCCTGAAGCTGCAGGCATTAATTAGAGAGAAGGAAGTCTGGAATGCATAGTAGAAGCTCAACAAACAGCTAGGAGCAAGAGTGAACCTGAGATCAAATCAGAATGCTCCTGGAGGGCAGGGGATTTCATTTATTCTCCTTCAGCCCTTCCCCTGTCCCAGCTCAAAGCAGCCCCTTTGTCCCCACTCCTGGGGTCTCTATCCAAGTAGGCCTCAAGTTGGAGGTGAGGATGGTCACCCCAGCTCTGGCACTCGATCTCCATCAACCTTAGGTTTAGAAAAGTGTGTGAAGTTCAGTTTAAACAGGGATTTTTTTTTTGGTCAATGGAGTTTGCCTTCATGATTCTGAGTTAAACATTATATTTTATGAGTCACATGACTCCGAAATTGCAGAGAGCTTGTTTTTCATTTGGTGGTTTCCCGGCTTACCAAAACCATTTCCTGCTTTAGGGGACTATTAATGGGAATTGAGAATGTGTGGCTGAAGTTAAATCATTTTAAATTTTGTTGGTGGCAAAGTTTTGGGAGCTTAAGAAAATCCTACTTGAGATCTAATCCATCTGGGCCACTTTGGAAGAAGTGGAGTAGGGCCTCAAGAGGGGCAGAGCAGCTCTACCAGCCCAAAACTCTGCTCCTTTGATCTCCTGGATGCTGCCAATAAAAGACAATCACTGAAGATAAGGATTGTAATCTAGAAGTGACCCAGAAACCAGGATTCAGACTCTAAGCTAGATCAATATTTTCTTTTTGGGGGGGTGGGGTGGGGATTGAACCCACGTGTGCTTAACCACTGACCAACATGCCAAACCCTTTTTTATTTTGAGACAATCTCACTAAGTTGCTGAGGCTGGCCTCAAACTTGCCATCCTCCTGCCTCAGCCTCCTGAGTCACTGGGATTATAAGGCTGCACCACCCTGTAATCAACAGCCTGTCCTGAACCCACCTTCAGCTGAAGACAATACTTCCTAAACTCACCCAATCATAGGACTTGGCTGCAAAGGGGTCCTGTCTGTGGCCCAAACTGCCCTTGAGCTCCTAGGCTCAAATGATCCTCCTGTCTTAGTTTCCCAAGTAGCAGGAACTACAGGAACATGCCACCATGCCTGGTATCTGGCTGGGATACTTAATCCTGTTCACGCTGTTTCCCAGCATGAACCCACTGGGTCAAGGTTTCCAGGAGAGACTCCCCAACTTGTATTTGAGAAAAGTACCCTCACATAATAGCTCTTAACTTGAATCCTGGTACAGGTTACGTTTGCAGTGAGTTAAGTGCCTTTAATCAACTCATCTTTCCTTCCTAAGAACTTGGAAGTTAAGGAACTTGCTCAGGATCACACAGCTCTCAAAGGCTGGAGTCAGAATTCCACCTGGGGCAATGTGACCAGAGGACTCTGGTTTTCCAGGCAGAAGCATGAAGATTTGAATCCTACATTGAGGACTTAAGAGCCTGAGTGAGGCTGGGTGCTTCCCAGGAAATAGTGCGAGTGGGGGTTCATCAGTGAGCATTTTTTCGAGTGCAGGCAAGATCAGCGCCCACTTCTGCTCCTTCAGAACCTGAGAGAGCAACACCAAACAAGGAGGCCTGAGCACCCAGTTTCCTGAGAGCCCTGAGGTCGTCTCTAGGCTATCCACTCAAGGTTACAGAGAACTGTCCTAACCAAACAGCCCCACCCCAGGGCAGGCCAGGTGCTCTGTGTGCCAAAGGCTGTTCACAAGTGGGAGTTTCCAGGGAGAACCACCAGGCACACACCAAAGGACATATCTTTCCCCTATATCCCAGGGGTTCCCCCCAAGCAGAGTACACAGGGGACATGTGTCAACTACCACCACCACCCGCATGCTCTGCTCTAGAATAACAGCTCCAAGATCCCCAGAATCACAGGCTGGTGGGTCCAACTGAGCTTTCTATTTTTCACTTCCTCCTCCCCAAGAGAAGAGAGCCTCTCCTACCAACTCCACCTGTTAGAAATCAAGCCCACCTCAAGATCACTCTGCCCATGATCTTTCTAGTGACTTGGCCAAGGCTCCCCACTGGCACAGCCCTGCAAAGGGCAGTAGGAAAGCCTAACATTTGGCAGAATTAAGGAACCTTCAACAGGGACAAATCACATTCTAGGAGCTTGAAGGGACAGGCCAGAATCCAGGTCCCTACAGGGTGAAGGCTGAGGGCAGCCAAACCAGTCTAGCTCCAAGATGGAGTCTGAATGGACCCTCATAGTTGCATGTGTGTGGGGGTGGGGTGGTGGGGGTGGAAGAAACCCAGGCCCTTGTGCATGCTAGGCAAGTGCTCTGCCCCAGAGGTACAGCCCCAGTCCCCATCTTTTAAGAGAGTGTATGTGGGGGGCGGGGCGGGGGGTGTCTCACTATGTTGTCCAGGGTGGCCCTGAACTCTGGGACCACAGCCACATACCACTGTGTCTAGTAAGGTCCCCTTCTTACTTTGGGAGAGAGAAAACTTCTTACTGAAGTCAGAGAGAGGCCTGAGATTTGAAGAGTGGGAGTGGTGGCCCTAATCTACCTTCACTCCCAAATGCAGCAAACTCCAACAAACAAAACCTCCCAAAGCAGCCTCCTTGCTCCTTTCTTCCCCAGGTTCAGGGAGGTCTTAGCTACCCCAGCCAAAGGCCCTAGAAAGCAGGACAGGGTCAAAGACAGCCTCGAAAGGGACAGATACCCACCACTGGTTTGGGGGCCAGTGTGATTTACTCACATCTAGAAGCCAGGCTAGCAGCAGCACCCTCTGATCAGGAAACTCCCTCACAGACCAGGGAGCACTTCCCGGCTGCGGAGGGTAGGGCAGGGCAGGGCAGGGCAGGACGAGGGAGGCGGGGCAGGGGCGGGGCTTGGATGTTTAAAGGGCCCTGCCACGGGGCTCATTTTTCTCCCTGGGGCTACTTTGGCTACAGCTGGTGACACCATAGTTCATTCCACACAGGAATTTCTGCCTTAGAGCCAGCTGGCTGCACTGGAATGAGACTAGAAGGATCAGAAGGCCCAAGATAGGAGGGCAGATGGTGACTGAGTTCTCCTCTATTGCATGTGGCTTTCATTTTCCAATCTGGGTGAACAAGATTCTACCTTTCTGCTAAGTGTGGCCAACTGTTTGGGCTCTAGCTGCAGCCCCCTCCAGAGAAGGTAAGTTTGCATATTTTATTTTGGACTCAGAAAATTTCACCCAGGTCTCCAAATAGACATTCAACCCAATATACACACATGTGTGCGCGCCCGTACGCACACACATACACCCTCTTTCCTGCTGAAAAACTGATGTGACTCCATTTTTGAAAATAAATAAATAACAGCAGCTTCTACCTCAAGGCCTCTTCTAAGGAAGGGGATGTGACCCTTGTCCTTGGAAAAACCCACAGAGCACTCCTAGGTACATACCCACCCTGCTGAGTTGTTTGTCTACAAATAACAGGAGAGATCTGTGGTGCCAGGTGTCCCTGACTCAGTTAAGCTAGGTGAGGACCCATAGCAATCCCCTAAGGACTTCCAGTCATCATGAGACAGGGAAAATACCTGGGATGCCAGATGAACCACTCCCCCCCCCTAGTAGTTTATGGTGGTTGATAACATGTTGGGAAACCATATAGTTTGGTAGGTACACCCCTCGTGGCCTAAACCAATTACTTCAAAGGACCCCCGCCCCCAAGTACAAACCAATCACCCCTACCCAACTTGTTCCTGCCAGTGAATGTGCTAATCAATAGTAAGAGCTGTTGTTTGATTTTCCCGCAATATGGAATGATTTGCTGTGTGATGTTGTGACGCATAGAGTATCCCCTCAAAACCTATAAAATCTAACTGAACTCACTCCCTGGGACCACTGCGCCGGAAACGGTTGTGAGTCCAGGCTCGGAGCTTGCAATAAAGACTCTTGTGTGATTGCATTGGATTCGGCTCCTGGAGGTCTATTGGGGGTCCCACGAATCTGGCATTACACTGCAAGGTGCTGTGTTGGGAGCTTGGGGTTCTTTCTCCCAAGTTTCCCAGCATCCTGGGTTAGGAAAGTTAGGAAAAGAGAGCCCAGGCCCTAGCAGATACAGTCTCTGCATTCTAGAGGCAGTAGCAACAACAGTCAGTATTTCCGTTGTCGAGGGAAGAGACTACTCCCCGATGACCGGAGTGGGGGGCTGGCTGGGTTGGGGTCCTCTGAGTCCAAGCTGAAGAGGTCCCTCCCAGTACGAAGAATCTGCTCCTCCAGCTTCTTATGTCGCTTCATGTCTGAGAGGACCTTGTCCAGGCGGGCCTCCCGTTTTTGGCTCCGGGCTGAACTTCCTAAAGAGGAAGGTAGGAAATATTTAAGAAATTGAGGAAGTGGATCTTACTTATCACTTGGGGAGCTTCCTTAATACCCAGGATTCCAGGTCTCAGCATGGAGATTCTAAGGTCTGAAACTGGACCATTAATGGGGAGAGGAGCACAGCAATGAAAGTCTTGAGTTAAGAGAAGGCACCACTAACGTGATGAGCAAGTATGATGGCCTTGGGGCAGGAAGAAAAGTTTGTTTAGAGATGGTAGGGGGAATCTCAGATGCTCTTCCCCCAACCCTTGCAATGGAATCCCTGGAGATATTAAGCAGAAAAGTGACATGAATTCTGTTTTAAAAGGACCACTCTGATGCTGAGACTGGAAGCAGGGAGGTAAGTTAAGAGCTACTGTAACTATGTGGCAAGGGAGATGGTGGCATGGATGAAGGTGTGGAGCTGAAGGCAGACATTAGCAGCTGGACTTGGAAACGTTGTGGAGCAGAGCTGGTGGTACTTGCTGCTGGCTTGAATGTTCAGGTAAGAAAAAGAGAAATCAAGAATGATCAAGAGCCAGGCGAGGTGGTGCATGCGTGTAATCCAAGAGGCTCAGGAAGCTGAGACAGGAGGACCTCAAGTTCAAAGCCAGCCTCAGCAAAAGTGAGGTGCTAAGCAACTCAGTGAAATACTGTCTCTAAATAAAATACAAAATAGGGCTGGGGATGTGGCTCAGTGGTCAAGTGCCCCTGAGTTCAATCCCTGTTACCCCCTCCCCCCCCAAAAAAAGAATGACTCAAGAGTAAATTCTAGAATGTCATGGAGGTGGGAAATTGGGTCAGATTAAGTAATTTACACAGTAGTACAGGGATGTGGTGCTAGATAATAATGAACAGGACTTGGACTTTTGAGGAGAGGATAAAAGAAATGGGAAACATAATAGAACCATCTGTAATAGTCTATCAAAATAAGACAAGGACAGGCATGGTGGAGCACGCCTGTAGTCCTAGGGACTCAGGAGGTTGAGGCAGAAGGTTCACAAGTTTGAGGTCAGACTCAAAAAGTTGGTGAGATCCTGTATCAGAATAAAAAGGGCTGGGATGTGACTCAGTGAATGCCCATTACAAGAGAGAGAGAGAGAGAGAGAGAGAGAGAGAGAGAGAGAGAGAGAGAAAATGAAAATTAACCTAAGCTCACTGGAGCATCTACAAGTTGTATGACAATTGAGGTACCCAGCAAAGGCCTCTTCAGGAGAGTCATTTTTGATGTAACTGGGAGGAGAGGCCCTTCACCTCCCCCACAAACTTTTCCCTCTTGTACCTGGGGTGCGTCTCCGGTCAATCAAGGAGTCCTTTGGTGTCATTGGCTCATCATCGAAGTCAAATTCCGTAGGCATGTGAGGTCTGGGACAGGTAGACAAAGAATGAAGGGTAAGAGTAGTCCTCCCAAACACCCACACATTTTCCCCCAACCTGTCGGCTCTTCCTTTCCTGTTCCCTTCCTCCACTTTCTAAGCTCCTGGGTCCCACTTTTTCCCCCCCTCCCTATTTTCTCCTGCATCAGGAGAGCAGTCCCAGTGACAAGGTGTAAGATTGTGCTCTCACTTTTCCTCTTCTTCTTCCTTGGCCTCCGGCTCCTCATCAGATCTCTCCTCTTCACTCTGGGCTTCGGGTGTAGGGGGCCGTCGGGGCAGGATCTCCGCTTGAAGCTCCAAGGTACCCTGGACAGCCAGCAACTCATAGAGCCGCTGGATTTCAGAGGGCGGGGGCATCCAGGGCCGTCCGTCCGCGGGCAGCTCCACCTCCTCATCGCTGCAGGGCACGCACCAGTCCTCGGATTCTCCCTCGACACGCTCCTCCCCCTCGGCGCTGGGTACTTCTGTTGCCTCCTCAGTCCCGGGCTCGGCATGCTCGGCCTCCTCCTGTCCTCCTTCCCCCTCTTCCTCGGCCTTATTGGCCAAGACAGAGGGACCTCCGGTATCCTCCACGGCCAGAGCCTGGAGGCCGGAAGTCACTTCCCCTTCTTCAGACAGAGGCGCCGCCGTGGTGGACGCAATGTCTCCATGACCCCGGGAAAGGGACATAAGCCACTAGGGAAGGGGCCTAACAATATAGGAAATGCTGGAGTACCAAACCAGGTCCTCCCGCCCCAAGTGATTGGGATCCCCAGGGTTTTAGGAAAATCTCTCTTCAACCAATCAGGCTCCAACAGTATTCTAAGTGGCCAGAGCGCCTACCCCCAGGAGGGGGCGCTCAGACCCCTGCAAGGTAGGGTCCCACCCCAAGGATCGAGATCCGGCACTCTGACGGTCCCGAGGACCCGCAGAATCCAATTTCCGAGCCACAGAGGGGCGGAGCCACTAGTCTCGCCTTCATATCACTCCTCTCCACAAGTGGTCCCCGCACCCTCTCGCCAGACCTCGCAGTTGGGGGCCGCGTCAACTCAGCCGCGGTACGCACCTGGAGCTAAGACCCGCCTCCCGGGCTGCGCAGAGTCACAGTACGCAGGCGCATAGAAATGGCGCGGGAGGCTCCACTCTAGTCAAAGCTACTTGGGATAGGAAGGCAAGGGAAGGCTTGCACATGCGCAGGTAGGCCTCTGGCTTAACAGGCTTTGGCCCACAGTAAAGATGGCCACCACGACGGCGCATGCGTATACCACCCTTTGGGTTCTGCCGGGAGGCAGTGCTCTGGCCGGGCAGACGAACGCAGGGACCAACAGAGACTGGAGGCAAGTCTCATGCAGTCTCCGTTTATTGGTGTTTCAGACCCATGCAGCATTCAGCATACAAAAAGGGAGAATCAGTTTGATATATTTTTCTTAAAGGAGTTTTAGGGTTTTTTCCCCCAGACTTTTTTTTTTTTTAAGAAAACAAAAAACCCGCCAACTCTGAACCTCGTCGCAGCTGGCTCCCTGCCTCCTCAGTGGCTGTCGCGTGCAACCAACCTCCCTCGTCCTCTTGGAAAACAATTATAGAACTCACCCGCCCCTCCCTCGCTCTGGGCTGCTGAGAGCTTTGGTCCTATTTTTCTTTTTCTTTTTTTAAAATTCTTTCCTTACAAAGCACGCAAGTGGCCCGAGCCCTTACACCTTCAAGCAAGAAGCTCCTGGGCTGAGGTTAAAAGACCCAGGTGGGCCGGTCAACCCCGGCTGACCCCACTACCGCCGCGCCTCTCCCTACTTCCCTGTGTTCAGAATTGCTTCCATCATTGCACAAGTCCCCAGATGGGGCCTGGCTTGCAGCTCTGCGACCCAAAAGGCGCCCAGTGAGGGGGTGGTCTGAGCCTGGGTGGTCCCAGCAGAGAACAGTCTGAGCCCCAGGCTAGGTAGCCCTCTCCCAACACTGCTCCCTTTCCCCCAGCCTGATCTAAGTGCTGGAGCTCTTGCAGAATAAATGATGGCAGGAGGGTGGAGGAAAGGATGCTAAGGGAAGATGAGGAGGCAGAAAGAGGAAGGGGGTGGGTGATGTAAAAAGGGGAGGGAAGATGATAAAGGAATGGAGAAAAGAAACGGGGTTAGATGCCAAGACAATGAAAGTCAGGAGAAGGAAGACGAGGATGAGGTTCAGAGAATTCAGAAGGCTGGGAGAAGTGCAGGGAGGTGGGGAGAGATGCAGGGAAGCTGAGAGCTCAGAGAGTTTGGGAGATGTTCAGGGAGGCTTCCAGAAGTAGGAAGGTTTCCAGAAGTGCAGGGTTAGGGAGGCCAAGAGGCTGGAGGGGCTATCCACAGGCAGAAGTGCAGGGAGGTTGGAAACAGTGCAGGGAAGAGGGAGGCCTACGGTTGGCAGAGGAGCCTGGCAGGATGCAGGAACAGGAGAGAAGCTGTAAACAAGGCCGCTCAGGCTCCCTTGGTCCCTAGGGATGGGGGCCAGGGCCATCGATTGGGCTCCCCCCAAGGGAGGGATGGGCCCAAGGCAGCTCCCAACAGGAAGAAAAGTCTTGGAATGCAGGGCAGAGCCCCTCACTTATACACTGTGGGAGAGGAGAGGGAGGGAGAGACAGAGACAGGGTCAGGGAGAAAGGAGAGACAAAGGAGAAGTAGGGAGGACAGACAGGAGAGAGCAGGGGCAGGGGTTAGTAAAGCTGCCCTTGTCAACCCTTCCACTCCTCCCCTGCGTGTCCCTGACCCCCACTCACCGCCCAAGTTGATGACGCAGGAGGCGATGATGATGAGGACCCCCCCCACCAGCGCCACGATGCTTAAGAGCTTGGCCACACGGCCCAGACGCTGGGCCCCATCCACGTCCCCCTGCTGCAGACTGTTCCGGGACTGGGGTTAGGGTGTGGGGTGGAGGTACCATGGCCCAGGTCAGGAGAAGCCAGCCCAGCAGGGATCAGGTGAGTCGTCCAGAGGCCAGCCCCATGAGGTTACGGGAGGAAGGGGGAAGAGGGCACAGGTCAGTGAGGCTGTGTGACATATATCTCCATATTCCTCCCACCGAAGGGGTAGGGCAGTGGTGGCTCAGAAAGTTAGATCCTGGGCAGGACCAGCAAAGGCTGTATAAGTGGGGCAGTGGGAACCATGCAGAAAGGGTAGGGAAAGTGTGGTTTATCCTGGGGCTCACCATGACGGCATAAGCGAAGGCCACGATGTTGACAGGCCACATGGGGCAGAAGCAGGACAGGATGGCAAGGATGATGTAGTCACGAGGTTTCTGGGTGCCTTCACCTCCCTCTACCCCAGGACCTGCCAACTGGGAGCTGGGGTGGCGGCTTAGGCTACCTCGGGGAGATCCTGGATGCCCACTATGGGCCCTTCCTATTCTGTCCTCCTCAACCAGCTGCTGCAGCACACGGGGGGGAGCCCCATTGGCTGGGGGTGTTTTTGTTGAGGGTGAGGAGTGAGGCTGGGGTGCTGGGCCCTCTTCCCCATCCCCAGCCTGCAAAGGGACCACTGCCCCATTCTCTTGCTTTTCCCCTACACTTTCTGTCAGGACCTCAGGGGTGGGGTCCTCCTGGGTAGGGGGCTCTATTTGAAGGGCTGGTTTGGGGGTGGGCTGGGAAGCTGGCTGAGGGTCTGACTGGGAGTCTAGCTGGGAAACAGGCTCTGAGGCTGGCTTGGGAGGGGCTGCAGACTCCTGCTCAGACCCCTGGTCTGCAGTGGCTTCTTTGTTCACTTCTGGTTTGGATGCTGGCTCTTTGCATGCCTCTTCAGGGATGGAGTTGGCTTTTGAGTCCCCTCCTGGGCTTAAGCTAAGGTCTGTAGCCTGAGCTGTTTCTGGGGCCCCAGCTGGGGTGTCTGTAGTTTCTGGAGCCAGCCCAGCATCAGGCCCTGAGTCCACAGGGGCTGCAGTGGTGTCTGGGCCTGGCTGTGGGGCCTCTGGCTGGTCTGGGACCTCTGCTAGGGCCTGGAGAGGGCCAGTTCCAGCTTCAGAATGGCCAGGCCCTTCTCCCTGGGTCTCCGGACAATCCTTGACCCCCTTCATCTCAGAGCTGCTGGCTGCCATCTTGAGATGGGAGAGGGGAGAGAACCCCTGTGGGAAGGAGGGAACAGCAGACAGTAGCAAACCCTGCAAGAGGAGGAGACAGGCTTGGTGTGAGGAGAGAAGTGGGGCTGACAGCACTGCAGACCCAAGAGGGCCAGGCTCCTGTCTCAAGGCCAGCCTTGCGCTGTCTCTGGGATGAAGAAGAAAAGTTGGGGTTTCCTTTGTTTTGGGGTGGGACATCCCTGGGGGAGAAGTGCTCTACTCAAAGCTTCCTGCATGGGCACCGGGAGAAGAAAATTACTTTTATAAACAGGACTCTCCTCAGGGTTTCATCTTTGGTCTGCCCAACAGAATCCAGTCTCTCACACCCCAGCAGATACCCCAGCACCCCCAAATCAACAAGCTGTGCAGCCGCCACCAGGAAACTCTGACAGGCAGATTGGGCAGGGGATCTGACACACACACATTCCACTCCCTCGGCATCCTTCTCTCCTCCCCGGACGCCCAGGCGGTGCCGGTATTCTTGCTGCGTTTGGGGCGCAGACGCCCCTGCCCTTTCCTAGGGGACCTGGGCATCTCCTGAGTTGCTTCTGAGCCCCTCTTAGGGATTCCCTCGCCCTCCGCGGGCTGGCACCTCCTCCTCCCCATGGCGCGGGGCACCCAGCACCACCTTCCAGCTCGCCAGGCACCCGCATTCCCGTGCAATCAGGCGGTCTGTAGGTCCACTCCTACCCGCAGCCTCAGTCCGTCCCAGTCTCACCTCGACGCCGGCCTTCAGACTGCTCCCGCCGCCGCCACCGCCGCCGCTGCCGCCGCCGCCGCCGTTGCAGCAGCCGCAGCCCGGGAGGGAGCAAGTCAGCTTAGGAAGGAGGGAGGCGACGGGTCTCCCCTCCTCTCTCCTCGCGTTTGGTCCCCTCTTCTCTGGTCCCCTCCCCTGCGCTCCACTGCCGCCGCGCGCCCGCCCCCGCCCCTTGCACGCCTCCGGCCCCTCCCGGCCAGCCCAAGGGAGCCTCGCGTGCCAGGCCCTGCGTTACCAAGGCAACAGACCCAGGGACCACTCGCGACCCCTCCCTGCCCCTTCCCACGCGCGCCTCCCGGCGGGACGCCCCCTTCCTAAGTCCTCGGCCCCTCCCGCCAACGGTCACCGGGGGTCCTGGCAGAGACCGGGGGTCTGCGAGGAGAGACGGGACTAATGAGGCAGGCAGGAATGGGTGGAGGCACCCCTACAGCAGAAAGAGGGCAAGGGAGATGGGGCAAAATTTGGGGAGGCTGCAGAAAAGCAGGGTGGGGTTTCAAGAGAAGGGAGACTGCAGAACAGTAAATCTTCCTATCCCCAGGGAAGGAGCAGCAGAAAATGGATATTGGAAGGCTCAGGAAAGGGTTCTTGGAAAGGACGGAGCCAGGCAAGGAAAGGGAATTCCAATGGAGCCTGCAGGGACAGCTTGGAGCAGGAGGGGCTAGGACTGAGGATCCACCGCGAATGCAGGGCGCCGATGCGGAGATCATGCAGGTGGAGTGCAGTTATTCTGAATCTTCCTGCTCCTGGCCCCAGGGATCAGGCCCCCTCAACCTTTCTGCACCTACATTACCCATGATGGCTTTTCAGGGTTAAGGGTGTGCAGGTATTTGTCCAGGGTCCTGAGCAGCTGGCAATGAGTACAACCAAGGGAGAGCAGTGTTTATGTTCAATAACTGTTTGGATGCCTAACCTGGCCCTCTTCAAACCTTTAGTGGTTATTCTGGACCTGTCCAGATTATTTCCCCAGAGAGCTGGGAGCCCTAGAACTTACTCTCCACATCCATTGGAGCTTGGCCACACCCTAAATCTGTGCTGCCACCCTGAGGGCTGTCCTTGGGGAAGGAGGAGCCAGAGCACAGAGCTATATACAGCAAAGCAAGGTTGGGACTGATACCAGGCACAAGAACCACCCCCTAAGAAGTAAGGACAAGGGGCTTAGTGAAGGAAATTCATTGAACCCAGAGCCAGAACCAGGTTTTATTTAAAATTTATTGTAATAGGGTCCGCGCAAAAGGAGGGGGGTGGAGGGTGAGGAACATGCAGGGGACACAGGAACACGATGACATGGCCAGGGCCACAGCTTCTGTCATGGGGAAGAGGGATGAAAAGAAAAGACCAGGGCAGGAGCTGGGGTGGAAGAGGGAAGGGGGAGACACTGGTTGCATTCCCCCTGCCCCCAGGAAGCACCTCTAGTCCCTGGTTCCCCTTGTTTACCCTGGGCCCCTCAGATTCCATCTCCTGTTCTGCCTCTGGCGCTAGTGGCTCCTTCTTTTGCCCCCTTTGACTTTCCCCACCCCCACAGATTTTCAAGTAGGATGACGTTTAGGGACTAACCCCAACAACCCTACCTAATGAACTTCTGCCTTCCCTGCTTCTGCCCCTTCTCTAATCTCAACTTTCTCCTTCTCTGGGACAGAATCTTTGACTCCCCTCCTTCCTCTCCTCCCTCCCCCTGGAAAACAAAACAAAACAAGAAAAAAGAAAGAAAAAAAAAAAGCACCAACTCCCCAGGGAGGGGCAGCAGACAGAAGGGAGAGGACTGGAAGGAGGAGAGCAAGGACAACGGAGGGAAAAGGCTCACAAATCCCTGGGAGGGCAGGGCAGGGAATTACAGAGAGGAGAGGGGGTGAGGGCAGTGGCTGCTCCTGTCCTCTGCCACCCCTGCCCACTGTCCAGGGGACTTCAACACAACCAAGGGAACAGGTGTGAATAGGGGTCAGCTCTGGTAGGGAGAAGAGAGGAGCAGGAGAAACAAATCGTTAAATCTAGTGAATTCCCCTAAGAACACATTTCTCCCTCCTTTCCTTCTGGAGGCTCCTTGGTTGGTGAGGGAGTAAAGAGAGTTGGTGGGAAGAGAGGGGGAGAGGAGATTGTACCAAGGGGCTTTTCTCTGCTCTCCCTTCTCCCCCCACCAACTTGGAGCTCACCAGGGCTGGGAGGGAAGTGGCTGAGAGCTCACTGGTACCCCCTCAGGCCCAGAGAGGGAGCCCACAGCTGTGGGAGGGGCTGCCACTGCTGCTGCCGCTGCTGCTGCTGCTGCCGCTGCTGCTGCTGCTGCCGCCGCCGCCATTGGACAAACCTCACCAGTACCTGCACAGTGAGAAATACCAAGGATCACAGCGCAACCTGAATGGCAAGAGCCATACCCCTTAACCCAGACTCTTTTTCCAGACTACTTCCCCTGGGACACAGCCGTTGCTCACTTCCTATCTGGTCCCCAGAGGCTTTGGCCTGACTCCTTACCCAGACAGAGCAGTTCTCCTGAAGGGCCCTCCCTGGCCCTGGAGTCTCCCTAACCTGAGTGATAGATTGGCATCCCTAACCTTCCTGAGATCCCCTATAGGGCCCTTTGAGCCCTCTTGTCCCACACACCCCATCCCGCCCCCCCCAGCCATGCCCCACGCCTTGCCTGGTGGGTGCGGGGGTCCCCCTCAGCAGGTGGGCTGTGGCTGGGGGGCATCTCCCGGGATAGGGGGGGCGGCCCCCCCCAGATGGGTCTGCATGTGGCCGGCCAGCTGGGCAGGGGTCTTGCAGTGCACGCTGCACAGCTTGCACAGGATGCGGTCAGCCCGCGGGGCCTGGAGCCCATGGTCCTTCACCGCGTGGATGCGCAGGTATGCTGCTGTGGTGAAGCCTATGGGGGGGCGGATTGGGATGGGGGGTGGGGGTCAGCCAGATGGAGACCCCAGAGACGGGGCTGTTCTCCTAGGCTGGGGACGCCCTTCTCAGATGGCCCTGTCCTCCTCCCACCACATCCTTGGTAGCCTGGGGCCAACTACTCTGCTGGGGCTGGTGGGGCACAGGCAAGGCCCCTCTCTGAGCCAAGGGCCTGATTTGAGTGGTGCCTACTTCTCAGTCTTGGAAAGCACAGAGCTCATTCTTTCTTCATGGCTGGGAAATCTCTCCAGGGACAATAGGACACTGATTCCTAGCTACTTTAAGGATTGACTCTCAGGAAAGACGGCTGTGTCCCTTCCCTCCAGTGTCCCACAGTCTCAGCCCAGTTACTGAGTTAAGTGCATTTAAAAGAAAAATTTTTCTGCTACTGGGCCAGGATGTGCGCTTGTTAAACCCCTGCCAGTGTACTCCATTTGCCCAGGAGCTGGAGACAAGAACTTGTGGCTACATGGCTGAACCTTGCCTTCTGACCCATGGGGACTGGCTCTCTTGACTAATCCTTTCCCAAAGCAGCCATGTCCCACTTCCAATTCTTCCCCCACACACCCAGGAGGTTGAATCTTTCTGGTAGATCGTCTCCTCCAGCTATGGCTTCTCAGAATTTAGCAATGTTCAGTTGTTCCCAATGCTGCTTGGTTTGCCTCCCAAAGGGCTCTAGATGCCACGAGCTCTTGGCTACAGCACCTTTAACCCACATCTGTGGAAGAGCCACCAACTTTGTGCCTCCCCTTTTCCCCTGGCCCTCTTGACATCCCTGAGCATGTACCTTTGTTGCAGAGCTCACAGACATGGTGAGGGCCCTGGCTGTGCACCTTCATGTGGTCCGAAATATAAGCCGAGCTCAGCATCTTGCCACACACATGACATGGCACCTTCTCCTCGTGTCGTACTGTGTGCGCCCGGAGTCGATCCTTCGTAGCAAAAGCTGCCTCACATTTCTGGGGAGGGGGGAGGGGCGTGGGGGGGTGTCACAGGAGAGTTAAAGCTTCGGGGAGTAAGGAGAAGGGAGCAAGAGGTTAAAGGGATCAGAGCCTTGGGGATCTTTGATCTGTAGGAAATGGGAGTGTGATGACGAGGCCTTGAGGAAGAAATGAGAAAATGGAGTGAAAAGGCAAAAAGAAGAGAGAGAAAAAGGGGGTCTGAGAGGCTGAACTCAGACAACTACAATGAGGCTCAAAATCATGAAAACCAGGACAGGAGGAGGCGGGCTTCCTACCTCACATTTGAAGGGCCGCTCTGTGGAGTGCACTTGTCTGACGTGACTGTTGAGGTGATCCGGCCTGGGGATATGTTGGGGTCGGGGGGTTAGGGCGGAGGCCCTGAGATTGGGAGGTGCTGTCTCAAGTCTTGCCTAGCTGCCCATCGCAGGCTGTTTAAAAGTCCCTGCGTTTTCTCCCAAAGACTCATGGTCCTACACAAGCAGGAAATCCCTCCCATCCAACCCGGCTTCCTCCTCCTCCTCCCACACGAAGCTATCCTTCCACCCAAAGACCCACCTCCTTTGCAAAGTACCACCCCCTGCTCCCTGGTAACCAGGAGAGGCTTTCCTTCCTCCTCCCTGGGAGTGGCTCCCCTTCCCCATCCTCAGAGCCGCTTCCCTCCCCGCCAGCCAAGGCCAGGCCACCTCTGTAGGCGTCCCTCCCTCCCCACCGGCCTAGTGGGCGACCGTGGCCCCTGCACACCGGGAGAAGCTCTTGCCACAGTGGGAGCAGTTGTAGGGCTTGTGCACAGCGCCGTCATGTGAGCGCACGTGGTAGCTCATGCGGTCCTTGCGCTTGAAGCGCTGCTGGCACACCGGGCACTGGTAGGGCTTCTCGTCCGAGTGCGACAGCTTGTGTCGGTTCAGGTGGTAGACGTCGCGGAAGGCCTTGCCGCACATCTCGCAGGCGTGGTTCTTCCGGATGCGCTTTCCCGAGGCGGTCGTGGTCACTACGCCACCAGCGGCCACTGCAGCGGTGCCACCGCCGGCACCCGCTTCTCCCCCTCCCCCGCCGGCTCCGCTCAGCTGGGGCACGCTCAGGAGGCTCAGGGGCACCATGGTGGGCATCTTCATAGCACCCGAGGGGACCCGGCCGGCCTTGGCTCCGGTGTGGATGGCTTCGTGCCTCCGGAGATTGTAGCCGTTCTTGAACTCTTTGGCGCACAAGGCGCAGATGTAGGGCCCCTTGCTCTTTGTCTTCTTCTCCAAGGCAGATGCAACAGGGGCCACGGCGACCGTCGAGGTTGGGGAGACGACAGCGGTGGCCGCCGCTGCGGCG